GCCTGCCCCATCCCATGCTGACTGAGGGATGGATCTGTAGCAAGCTGAAAGTCCTCAAGACTCTGAGGAGGTTCTGGACATGCTGATTTTAGAATATGCAAAATGTAGAGAAAATTTTTAAAATCCCATATTCTCAACAATTAAGGATAACCATCATTAATGTTTATAATTCTTCCGATGAAAATCTTCACTGGTTTCTTTTGTCTTTACTGTTGTTTTAAGCTACCAAAGTACCATACAATAGTCTCATCAGAAAAGATTCAAACTACACTGAAACATAAAGAGGAAAACATGAATATGACCCCAAACACTCAGGTACATGTATATTTCCAGGTTGCTTTCAGTGCATTTACACACACACACACACACACACACACACACACACCCAGAATCTGCTTTCTAAATGCAACCTCGTATCAAAGGTAAAATGTCAGACGGTTAACCTGGAAGGAACATACTGGGCTACACCCTCAGGTCTCCACAAAATGCAAGAGCACATCTTGATATTGTGTTGTCAGCTTTTACTGAGGGTCATAATGAGAAGTGGTCAGTTAGCATTTTCTGCACAATAGCATATGGAAGATCTTGTCCCTTATTACTTATTCTGTTTGGTCAGAAAAAAAAATCAATCATGATATTATCCTTCTAAAATCTGGTGCCACGAGGAGTCTTTTGGGGATGATGAGAATGTCCTAAAACTGAACTATGGTTATTGCTGCACAACTCTGAATTTCTAAACGTCAGTGAGCTATACAGTGAAACTAAGTATAGTCTATGGGGTGAGATTTAGACTTCAATAAAGCTGTTTAAAAAAACGTGCCAGGGTAAGATCACCTGACAAATCTGTCTGTCCCGTTCGTAAGATAAAGAGAGAGAAAGCGGTGAGAGCTGACAGAGCGGACACTGCTGGAGGTGCCGTGCGGGAACCGCTCCAAGCCTCCTCACAGCCTTCGGAGCAAGGTCACTTGATGGAGGTAAAGACTGGCCACGCAGACGGAGCCCCAGGCCCAGCTGCACAGGCTGGCAACCTGAGCTGGAACCTGGGTCCACGCTCCTGCACGGAGCTCACGTGACTCCCCAAACCACGGGAAACAGTTCGGTCAGGGTGAATTTAGAATTTCAATACAGAAACAATTTCATTTCATTTCATATCCATCCTACTTTACATGCTTACATTACACTCTATTTCAATCATATGTTAATTTCTATTTATACTGTAAGCCATTTCAGTCTGTTTTAGAAATACAGATATTTGCTGTTTCTTGTAATAAGTTCACTATATCTCTGTCTGTATTATAAACACAGGAAATAATCGCTTGCTGAAGTAACCACTAAAAAAAATTACTCATTTATTTTCCTGCCTTCACCATTATGTAAGTGGAATCGGCCCTACAAATTATCAGTGGCATTATAAAAAAAAATATGGATAGAAATCCCAGGATGAAAATAAAACTTTGTATTTAAATCCCTAAGACAGATTTTCTCCAAAAGGAAGAGCCGAGTAGCTTTAAAGACATTCTATTGGGTCAGCCTCCGGAAGAAAACATTGATTTTCATTCTGCATGCATGAACAGAGAAAAAAATCCCTCAAAGAGGAGTATGGGGCACTTTGAACATCTAGCCGACAGGAAGCAGCAAAGGGAAGCCAGGTGAGCAGGGAGATGAGGCAGGGCCCTGGGGCGGCCGAGGTCTGCAAGGATGTCGTGGACTCAGGGCCAAGCAGACTGCTTCTGGGTTGCCTGTAATTCTTTCCCTAACTCCTGAAATATGGACGGAACACTGCATTTCCCCCTTATTACAAACTTTCTACTTTCACAAACAATGCGGGAATCCCAACGATGCATTGCTCAGTAGGAGGCAAAATACCTATTTCACACTATTGTAAATAAAATAAGGTCAAGAATATCTCATGTTAAGCTAAGCAGGAAAACCACACTGACAACCCCCCAGGGTCTCTGTGACAGCCCCCTGTGTTCCGTGGGCACCAAAGCATAGTGCCCTGCACTGCGTACTGACAGACGGAAACAATGGTTTAGTTGAATAAGGGCTTGCTTCCTGTAGGGTCATTCATAACCGTAACATCTGAAGGCCTACTTTGTAATATGTTCTGGTGAAATCACCACCACTCACTTTCAGTACTAAAAATCCAAAAGTTTAGATATATTAGTGTCAGAGTAGAAATACTTATGATTACAATTGACAACACAAAAAAAGTTAAAATGGATCAGAATAAATCTGTTTTGAGACAGTTCTGCATTTTACTGCCACAGAGGACTTTGAAAAAGGTATCAATCAAGAGGACAACTTTGGAAGGTTTCACAGATTGCTTTAGAATAGTCAATTTATACAAGATCTCAGAACAATGCTCNTCAAAAAGAAAAAAAAAAGCATACTTTGTGTTAGTCTTTAAAAGAGTTACACCAAATTATTTTGTTACCTATGGTAATTTCCCATTCATTACTGAGTTTCTCATTTGGTTTAATTATTTATCTTTGAAAAATGAACACATACAATTCATACCATTTACATTTATAGTTTCAGATTCCTTTCAGTTACAAGGGGCTATAAAATATCTTCTGCATCAATAATGAAATAGAAAGCAAAAAAATGTTTAGGATATGTGTTGAATAAAAGTTGTAAGTAATAGAGTATATTTAAACTTCCTTTTCTAAAAAACACAGACAAGTAGGCAAAGTAGCTTTAGAAGCTGTATTTACAGTAAGTGCCAACTCCAAACCATTGTTGCTCTTCACACCAGTGGAGGGTGAAGCGTCACCTGAGCTCTGAATCCAAGACTGAGCTGAACACACATGTCACGTTTCCAGGAGCCGATTAATTCCCATGCTATCTCCAACTCATTGTCAGCCTCTTCTGCACATTCAACACGCATGGAGGAAAGCAACCCTACTGAGTGAAAGAATGGACGGATGGACGGATGGATGAATGCCACCACATTCTGAAAGTCATATTTTTCACCTTTGTGTATATTTTTATCATGGAAAAAAACCTGTTAATAATCATGACAAATTTCCATATCATACACCTCTCTTCTAGAAAAATGGAACTGTCTCTGGACGCACTGGGTCTAACACTATTCTTGGATTGAAAAGCAGCAGCGATTGCCCCCAGAATATTCTCCTTCAGGGAAAGAGCCAGGCTGTGCTGTCTGCTCTGATGTGCAAATCGCACAATAAACTACTCTCCTACTTTAGATCAGATTACTCCCGCTGTACCAGGTGCTAGATCATTAAGGTCACACATACATTTAGTGGAAATAAAGACATCTCCTATAAGGGGAAAGGAAGACACAGATCCACAGGAACATTATTAACAATCTAAACTAGCTTTCTTTAACTCCAAGTAAAACGTTACATTTTGGTAAACACTTCTGAAGCCTTAAATAGATTATGTTGTATATAGAAACTATGGAGGCTTCCGGGTTTTTTCATAGTGAAAATGAAAAGACCGCACTATTGCATTTACGTCAACAACTTGATACTTAACAATGCTATGGACCTCAAATGCCCACGCCAGACAAGAAAATTGTTAAGAACAGGGTTGTATCTTGAGCTATAGCTTCTAAACCTTCCATTTCTTTTCACACGATACTACAATATATAGACATTGTAGGTACTAAACAAATATTTGCTGATTTACTGTTATTTGAAGGAATTATCTCTTCCTTTATGGATATAAGATAAATGCACATCAACAAACTAATGGAAAAAGTATAAAGCAGTCACAGAAGAAAAAGACAAAGTAAAACAAAAAAGAAAGGAAAATATGGGAAGTTGAACAGCTAGAGTTGTGACTCAGCGTTTTAAGGAGGAAAACAATGAATTAACAAGGGATCAAGGGAGGACATCTCGTCCACAAGCAAGAGGCCCTCGCTGCGGCGACACTCAAGCTGGCGCGTGAGCACGGCTCCTGACCTGACGCGTGATGAACCCTACAGTCCTCTGAGGTCGTCTGGCTCCCGCGCGGTGACATCAAGCCCTGTTACAGAAGGGACGCTGACACCCTGTGACGTCCCCACGCGGCTCGCTGCACTAACAGGCAGGGGTGGCTGTGTGACCCTCCCAGGAGAATCTGACACCAGGTCTCTGTGACCCTAGACGTTCTTTTTGGCCTTTCTCTAAATTATTCCTGCTTGGACATTTGGAAAAGCTCAGAAAATGGAACTTGCTGCTTCCCTGGGAGTCAGCTGGACACACTGCGCCCAAGCAAGCTCTTCCTAAGTCAGCTTCTCGGACCAAGTGCCCTCCTGGCCTTTCTTCCAAGAAAGCCCTCCTCACTCAAGGCTCTGCACTGGACCTGGCCAAGGGCGTGACCATCCTCCCAACCGGACTGCAACACGGGTCCTCCAGGAAGGAACTGTACACTGTTTGAAATATGGTGAGAGCGCAACATTTACTGAATACACCAATATTTTCCAGTGAAAAACTACAGGATAATATCTAGTGATAAGTAAGGCCTCATCAACTTAGCAAATTATTGGAAAAGACAAACATATATAAAAAAATATTTTAATGTGTATGCTTAGGTATCATAAAACAAAACCTTTGCTAAACAATGCCTGTATAATAGTCCATTTTTAGATACAACAGCTGAAACATATCATTACCCAAATTCCTCCAAAAAAATCTACAGAGGAATTTCTAAATGTTCTAAGATCTAAATCTTATTGTTGTTATTGTTATTTTTAATCTGTTTTCATTTAAGAGGAGGAAAGCATCTGAAACCACTAAGCTCTCTTTCTTACATTCCTATCACTTAAAAACAGCTGAATTGATTTTCTTCCCTTTTTTTAAAAAAAAAACAAAATTTATTGGCTAGTAATAAAATTCTGAAAATAGAGATTCATGATGGAAACTGACTCAAACTAAACCACAGCAAGGTTATGATAAAAAATATAATGCTTGGGTTTTAGTCACTTAATTTGGCTCACAATTTAGAATAAGAGTATTTTTAAAAATTAAATATATTACACTTTTACTCACTTCAAAGCTTCCTCAAGTCTATGGATTTTCTTTTGAGCATCTTCTTTTTCCTTATCAAGTTCACTCTGTAAGTCGTGAATCTGCCATGACAAAGACATAAAATTTACTAAAAGACAAATCAAGTTTCCTCAAAGGAGAAATACAATGAAACAGTAATCTTAAATCCATTTTCAATATAAATTAGATTTAGATTTTTCAAGATAGAGGCTTGGTTAACCATAATCATTTACCATAAAATTATTTTAATACTGTTCTTCTGATAATAACTTTCTGGTCAAAATTAATCATTGTTTAAATGAGCCTGCATGTGGAATCCCTGTAAAATAAACTGACATGTAAGAAATTAAAAAAGAGAACTTCTGAATTTTTTTTAACATTACACATTAACCAAAGGAAAGTAATCTAATGAGATACAGGAGAATACAAAAATTAACGTCTCTATTTGGCTTTCCTGGTGACCCAGACGGTAAAGCATCTGCCTGCAATGCAGGAGTCCTGGGTTCAGTCCCTGGGTTGGGAAGATCCCCTGGAGAAGGGAAAGGCTACCCATTCCAGTATTCTTGCCTGGAGAATCATTGGACAGAGGAGCCTGGCGGGCTACAGTCCATGAGGTCACAAAAGTCAGACATGACTAGGTGACTAAACAGCAACACCAGAGATCCCCCCCAGAGCCCACTGCCCCTGNCACATACACACAATCATACACAACCACATACTCATACACAACCACACACAGTCATACACAACCATACAGAACCACACACACACACTCATACACAGCCACACACAGAACTACACACAACCACACAATCACATACACAACCACACACACAATCACATACACACAACCATACACAACCACACAATCACATACACAACCACACACAATTCATACAATCATACACAACCACTCATACACAACCACACACAACCACACACACAATCACATACACAATCACATACAATCATATACAACCACACACAATTACACACAATCATACACAACCACACACACAATCATACACAACCACACACACAATCCCATACACACAATCATATACAACCACACAATCACATACACACAATCATACACAACCACACAATCATACACAACCACACACACAATCACATACACAGACACAAACCTTTTCTGACACTGCATCAATACTCCTCAAAAATACCTCTGTTTAGCTATTTATTCATTTAGACAGAAGCCTATCTAACTAAAAAATCCTTGTTCTTTGGCTTTTTCCTATTGTAATTCTCTTTCGTTTCTCCCCTCGGTGTTTTAGGGAAATAGGTAGATAGACAGGTAGGTAGGTAGGTAGACAGGCAGGCAGGCAGGCAGAAGGTAGACGGATCAAATCAACTGCCTGGGAACTCCACGCCGGCGGGAAAGCCGTGCCGGCCGCCGCGTGGGGTGAGGTCAGCCCATCGTCCCCTCTCCGCCTCTCTCCTCTGACACCGTTTCTCCCCACAAGCGCCACACTCCCGGGAGCCCCCGCCGGTGAATTTCGCAGTGTCCCCTTCCGAAGGACCTCCTTCTCGGAGAAGCCTGCATCGCGCCCCGCAGAACCTCGAGTGCCCGTCAGCGCGGTCTGCGCGGGAGAGGCGGCGGTCACCTCCGCCAAGTGTGGCCGCCACTCCCTGACCGGCGGCGGACCCAGCCCCTTGATCCAACCCAGAGCGCCACTGCCACGGCAGGCGAGGGACGCCCTGGGTGGGAGCCGCAGAGCCGCGTCGGCGCGCAGGCCTTTGAGCCGGGGGCTCCCCAGGGGAAGCGGCTCCTCCCCGGCTTTCGCGTCCCGGCGCCCAGCACAAGCGGGGCCCAAACGAGAGGCCAGCGCGTGCTGTCCTGGGGGCCTGCTCCCCACCGAGCGTGTCTGCGCCGAGCGCCCACGGGCTCTCGGGCTGTCCTGCCGGTGCCACCTGTCTGCTAGAGAGAGGGGGCGACGCGGCAGCGCGCGGCCAGCCTCTCCTCCGCGGCCCAGCGGGGCGACCCGCCTGCGGTCCCTGCCCGGCCGTACGCTGTGAACACCAAACACGAGTTCTAATCACTTAAACGATGAAAACACAAAGCAGACAGTCAAGATGTAGCATATATTCTCAAACGTGGGAGTGTTCTACAAACACTGACTGAGGGAGCTGGAAGCACATTTACTGTGCAACAGCCAAATGGAGATTTCACTCCCTTGCACCTTAAGAATTTATCAAAAAAGGCCTGCTCCTAGAAACAAGAAAGAGACTTGCTACACGTAAGGAAACAGACATACGGTGGGCGACATTAAGGCACAAAAAGCGCATGGAGCCGCGGCAGGTTCCCTGGTGGACCTCTGGACAGCCCACCGTACTTCCTAACCAGCCTGGCCACCTCTGCCTCTCGATGGGACAAGCTCGGGACCTTGGGCGCCATGATTTCTATCAATCATTTCACTGTGCAATTTCATTTTTTGCAAAACTTCACTCAAGACACCTTACCTCTTAGAGAAAACCAGGCCAATAATTGTTGGAAAACACTCCACAATATATGTAAAACCATGTAAATTTTACATTAGTCTAACCTAATTAAAAGAATTATATACATGTAAACACCATTCCTAACACTTTTGAACTCCATCAGGCCTCATGGCGACACAGTGGCCATGGGTCACACTCATAAGCAGACGCTTCAGCTCTAGCAGTTTACAGCAGACATGCTTAACATCTGTCCCGTGAACTTTCAGTAAACACCACCATCTTTTAACTCTCCAATGCCTGTTTGGAAAACAGGTAGTAGGTTATTTGTAGGAGGCAGGTGTTTCCTTGCTCGTAAAATCATTTAGCTTAACCATTTCCTGATTTAACAGATTAGGACACTTGGGCAAACAACGACATTGAGTTTTACTACCTATTATTTGTTTGATGTTCAGAGACCTTAGGAGCAGGCAGCAGCCAGCAGAGATCCATAAAGGCCATTCAGTAACGTGTGGGCTCCAACCAGGGGCGTCGACGCAACTGCTCCCCGGACCTCAAAGCAGCTGGCCGCCCTTGCGCTGCTCTCGTCGGCAGGAGGAAGTGATGTCACTCAGACGGCATTTCCTCCTCCTGAACAGACACTCAGAACCTGGGTTTGCACGGTTACTGAGTGCGCACACCTGTAACACCATCTAACCGGCAAACGCCCTGTGCACCCCTCTCTGCTCTCAGGCCACGCATCCCCGAGCAGGGTGGGGCTGGTGTCAGCCCTCGGAGGAGGCAGAGGGGATATTCCCTGAGGGGGCACAAGGCAGCAGCGCCTCAAGGACTGAGATCACAGGTTTAATACAGAGAGAAGAACAGAGGGCAATTTAAAAGGGCAGATTGTGGAACTGAGTGTAAAACAAAAAGCAACGCACTGAGCAACATTTTCTTCCAATACAAACACTGTTAGAACAAATGCGCTCCTTCTTCTTTACAGAAGGTGTTATTTTAAACACATACTCATTTGAAAAGACCCTGATGCTGGGAAGGATTGAAGGCGGGAGGAGAAGGGGATGACAGAGGATGAGATGGTTGGATGGCATCACTGACTCGATGGACATGAGTTTGAGTAAACTCCAGGAGTTGGTGATGGACAGGGAGGCCTGGCGTGCTACAGTCCATGGGGTCGCAAAGAGTTGGACACGACTGAGTGACTGAACTGAACTGTACTAGTTACTGTTACTTAAAAGCGAGGCCACTTGATAGCTCACAGACAGGGAAAGGCTGTGGTTACCAAGATGCCTGATTACATGACTGCGGTCCGCTCCCTGAAGTGACACAGACTAGGAGGGGAGGAATCGATCTCTAACACGGCTTCTTGTGTGCCCACCAGGCGGGGGGCTGGTCCCCAAACCCAGGTTCACTCAGTGGCTGCACGGCCAGAAAGGACAGCGGCAGGAGACTGCCTTCCAGCGCCATGCCTCCCAGCCCACAGCTGGATGCTGTGAACCGGTGTGGCCTCCTCCGGGCACCAGGGCTCCGGGGCCCACAGGGGCGCAGACGCCACCTCCCAGGAGGAGGGCTGCCAGCAGGGTAACAGAGCAGCAGGCCAGGGAGGGGTCCCCGTTGGACGGGGAGCCAGGTACCCGCCCACGGCACCAGCAAGGGACTAACAGGTATACCCACAGGTGTGGATGCCTCAGACGGTGGGCAGTGAGGCTTACGATAATACATGGTCTTCTTTGGGGAAGTCAAGTATTAATATTTATGAAGCTGCAAAGCTCTAAAGTGGAAACCAAAAAAAAAAAAAAAATTCCTTATTTCAGGGAAAGCAGTATTTCTTCCTCCTGCTCAGATATCATTTTGTAGGCATGAAGTATATTCAGTATCTTGCATTGAGCTGTATTAAAACTGCAGGGGAAAAATTTTTTTAGCAATAGGAAAACTTATTACACTTGGTCCATGCGCGTCTCAAGAAACCGAGGCCCCCGGAGAGCAAGCTGCACGGCCTGTCCCCTCAGCCCCTCCTCCACCCAGGGCCCAGAGAGACCACACTCCGGGAGGGCGCTGAACACACGTCCCAGGGGACGGTACACACACGTCAGACGTGATTTCACGGCATTTCAAGAACTTTGTGCCACACAATCTGTCTGATTAGCTGAGGGGGTAACCTTTTTCTCATTTTCCATTGTGTGTGTATTCTACAAGCGGATGAATTTGGTGGATGTTAGAACTGTAAATAATTAGAAAACAGCAACAAAATCTCTGCTATCTCAACTACAGTTATAGAGCAAACAATAAATTCAAAACAGAAGTTCGAAAGTCACAGACCCTGTAGAACTCTATACTTTATCACTGAAGGTGTGAACAGGTGGCCATGGACACCCAGTTATCACTGATAACAAGGACGCCAGCATGCATCTGCAGAAACAGTCACTACTCTAAATGACAGGAAATAATTACTAATCAACTTTTTTACTAATCAGTTGCAGTGACAATTCTTTCATTGATTTTATATTCTTTGGTTAATTTGAGTTTTATTACACATATGATACAACAGAAAAAAATAACTCTCATCAATTATATCATATTTTTAAACTGATAAAAACAAAATATAATTTCAAAGGGTTATTATGAGAGGTGAACATAATAATACTCTTCACTCATCAAATAAAACACAGAAGTGGTATATTAATGTTAACATAATTAAGAATCAAACTGAAGAAGCTGTTCATAAACATGAAAAATAAAGAAGCAAAATTTGATTACTGGCTAACTGAAATAAACCTAGAAATACAGTCTAGAACACATGGTTTTATAGAAATTAGCATGCACTCTTAACTGTCTCCTTTGCTATATAAGTGGCTTACAGCTTCCCACAAAATATATTACCTTTTTCTCAAAGGTGCGTTTTAAGTGACTTCTCTCCATTTGAAACTTATTTTCTTGATCCTGTGAATAATAAATATTTATCTTTATTATACTTAAAATCACTTCTAGGGTCAATAAAATTAGTAATCTAATGAAACAAGTCAATCTCTTTGATGACAAACTTATTTGAGTTTTGCCTACCAGTAAGTGAGTCCTACCTGTCCAGTTTTCTAAAGCACAAACAGAAACATGAATAGCTTTCTGTTGGAGACCATAAAATGCCCATTAACTGAAGATGTTACTACTCTCAAAAGCACCTATGTTACAGTGAGAGAGACACTTTCCGACCCTTAGAATTAGGAGACCGCTTAACAATGATCAAATGACTCAATATGAAAATAAGGTGTTATATCACATATCAGGGTTTGGTACTTTTTGACCAAAAGAGAAAAAGAGAGGGTCTAAAAGGAGTGACAGAGGGGATTCCCTGGCTGTCTGGTGGTTGGGACGCCGTGCTTCCACTGCAGGCGGCACAGGCTCCACCTCTGGTCAGGAAACCAGGGCGCTGCATCCGCTGGGCGCGGCCAAAAAACCAGACAGATGTATGCACAAGAGGAGTGAAAGAGAAAAAGGGAGAGAGAGAGAGACTGTAAAGAGTGGCAGACAATAATTTAAAGAGGAAATTATTCTAAAATAATAGTATATCTAAATAAGGTTTATTTTTCAAACTAATCTCATAAGAGTAGATCATCCAAGTTAAAATTGCTCTTCTTACTCTATCACATTAGCATCTACTTTTGTTAAAATAAATAAGATGAGAAATGATACAGTGCAATAAAAGAATCAGAAATGGTTACCTGCATTTCTGAGCTTTTTAACTGACACTCACTTATTCATATACACCCAGAAAAGGACGGGTGACTTTAAGCCATTGCTCTGTTTAAAAGCACGGGACTCACCTTGAGCTGCTGCTTTCTCTGAAGTTCTGATTCCTGTAATTGCTGCTTTAATTGACAGACGTTCTGTTCTAGCTCTTTAATCACACCAGATGCCTAAAGAGATTTCAGGAAAATAATAAAAAATGAAATTTTGATTTTTCTATCATTCCTCCAAACTTCCAGTTTAATAAATTTACCCTTTTTCTTCCTGAAGTTTCGATTAGAATTAAAATCATCTATAAATGTGAATTTTACAAAAATTTAAGTTAAAAAATCTTTGAAATGAAAATATAAATTAAATTCATAGTATTTAAAGTTATGAAAATACTGATATAAAAAGAATAGGTAAACAGAAAACTTTTTTAAACATTAATTTAAAAACCAAATCCATTGGAATAGTTATTAGGTTGGTGCAAAAGTAATTGCAGTTTTTTTGCATTGGTGCAATTTGCCATTTGATATTGGAACACATTCTAAATAAATGTGATGGTTATGTTATACATCATTTTAATGCACATTTTTTATTTTATGGGGTTTCTTTTGCTAATGACTTATTACTTGCTGTTTATTTTATATTTATCTTAAACTACAGAAAAGATGTTAGACAAAAAGCAAATTCGAGTGATTTTATTATCTGAGTTCAAAATGAGTTATAAAGCAGCAGAGACAACTTGCACCATCAACACATTTGGCCCAGGAGCTGCTCACAAACGTAGAGCGCACTGGCGGTTCAGGAAATCTTACGAAGGAAGCGAGAGCCCTGAAGACGAAGAGCATGGTGGCCGGTCATCGGACGCTGCCAACGACACCTGAGAGCCATCATCGAAACTGGTCCTCTCACAACTACACAAGAAGCTGCCAGAGAATTCAACGTCAGTCACTCTATGGTCATTGGCGTTTGAAACAAACTGGAAAGGTGGAAAAGCTCGGTCCGTGGGTCCCTCGCGAGCCGACCACAAATCAAAAAAGTCATAGTTCTGAAGTGTCTTGTCTTGTTCTGGGCAACAACAATGAACCATTTCTCAATCAGATTGTGATGTATGATTAAAAGTGGATTTTAATATAACTGGCGACGACCAGCTCAGTGGCTGGACCAAGAAGCTTCAAAGCACTTCCCACAGCCAAACTCGCACTAAAAAAAGTTCTTGTTTGGTGGGCTGCTGCCTGATTGATCCACTACAGCTTCCTGAGTCCCTGCGAAACATTACATCTGAGAAATACGCTCAGCACATTGATGAGATGCACTGAAAACTGCAATGCCTGCAGCCAGCACCGGTCAGAACGGGCCCAATTCGCCACAACAATGCCTTTCTGCACATCGCACAACCGACGCTTCAGAAGTTGAAAGAATTGAGCTATGAAGTTTTACCTCATCTGCCATTTTCGCCTCATCTCTCGCCAACCGACTACCACTGCTTCAAGCATCTTTACAACTTTCTGCAGGGAAAATGCTTCCAGAATCAGGAGGAGGCAGAAAATGCTTTCTCAGAGTTCATCAAATCCCGAAGCACTGACTTTTATGCTTTGATTTTAAAGCTTTTATGCTTTGATTTTAGAGATTTTAAGCATTGATTTTAATAAGGGTAAACAAACATTCCTGGTTGGGAAAAATGTGTTGATTGTAATGGTTTCTATTTTGATTAATAAAGATGTATTTGAGCCTAGTTATATGATTCAAAATTCACAGTCTGAAACCATGATTATGTTTGCACCAACCTAATAATTCTTGACATATCAAGTAAGTAACCACAGCTATAGGATTTTCTTTGCATAAAGTTTCAATTATCTGACACAAAAGGGGGTGGGTGCCCTAAGGGAGTGTGTAGGCTCACAGACACGTGTGAGGGCAAGAAAACTAATGTATAACTCTTCAAGCATCTTTACAACTTTCTGCAGGGAAAATGCTTCCAGAATCAGGAGGAGGCAGAAAATGCTTTCTCAGAGTTCATCAAATCCCGAAGCACTGACTTTTATGCTTTGATTTTAAAGCTTTTATGCTTTGATTTTAGAGATTTTAAGCATTGATTTTAATAAGGGTAAACAAACATTCCTGGTTGGGAAAAATGTGTTGATTGTAATGGTTCCTATTTTGATTAATAAAGATGTGTTTGAGCCTAGTTATAATGATTTAAAATTCACAGTCTGAAACCATGATTATGTTTGCACCAACCTAATAATTCTTGACATATCAAGTAAGTAACCACAGCTATAGGATTTTCTTTGCATAAAGTTTCAATTATCTGACACAAAAGGGGGTGGGTGCCCTAAGGGAGTGTGTAGGCTCACAGACACGTGTGAGGGCAAGAAAACTAATGTATAACCAAGATCTCAAAATATTAATAATAGTATTAATTACTGGTATTATATTCAAAATATTAGCTGTATACATTAATAACAATATTATTAATTAACTATTAACATAACAATGTATAGTTATATGAGTTACTCAAATAATAATGTTACTCAAATAGAGTTACTCAAAAATGTTGTTAAAACAACTGAACATCACTTCTTGGAGTTTTATGTTTCCTCTTTCAAAAACTTTAGTAATTAGTTTAGTTAAAAGGGTTAATTTATAGCAGATTTTAATTTATTAAGTATTTATGTTGTGCTATATATTAGACATTTAGCATTAAATTAAGCAAAGGAGACTCATTTACACGCCAGATAGTGAGCTTCCACCGGGCACTTCTGGTTCTGTGCTGAGTGAAGGGAATAACGACTCTGACTGGCTATAGCTATCATCAGCACCTACAATACCTTAGAAGCAGAAAGAGCGTGTTCCTTTTTCAGAAGGTTGACATCAGCATCATACTTGGTTTGTAATAGTTTCAGGTTTTGCTCATAATCACTGATGAGATGGTCTTTCTCTTTATGCAGTGTGTTGCGCCTAAAAGCAACCAGAGAATAAAATACACTTCCAATGTATTCATAATCAACCTCTAAAATGGAATCTTTTAGCCAGTCAAATCCAAATGCATTATCTTTCAATACATCAAATAAGTAAGCATATTTTTATCAAGTGTTTTTAAACAGTATGCCTCTTACATTCAATGGTACTTAAAAAATTTAACAAACAGCAGTATTTAGAATGGAAACCTTCCAAGGTTAAATGCACAAGTTTTTAATTTTACCAGATAACTTACAGAGTTAATGTCAGTTTTTTATAGCTACACCTGAGAGCTGTCTGACCTCAGACAATACCTTGCCTTTACTTCTTGTAATTCATTACATGTTATCTGGTAACATCTCTCCAGTTCCAGTTTTTCTTGAATTAATTTTTGTTTCTGTAAATTACTGTTCTCCGCTTCTCCAGTCAGCTGCTGGACACGGGACTCCAGTTCTTTGATCATCTGGTTCTGAAAGAATAGGTCATTGTTCAGAAAGCCTCTGACTTTATAGCAATTCTGCATCATTAAGTAACCTCAAGAAAAATGCAAGGGATTAGAGATAAGAATACAAAAAAATGTACCATAAATCATACTAATAAAAACCAAATCAACCTCTAAATTAACTGTCTTTTAAAAAAAAAAGGAAAAAAAATTTTAAAAAAATTAAAAATTTTAAAAAAAGGAGCGCTTTCTACCATGAAACACAGGCTAACGTGTTTGTACGCTTTTAGCCTCTCATTCGTTCAATGAGTGGGTATTCCTTCGCTGAACAGCACCATTCTGATCCCGGGTATGAGCTTAAGTGCATGCATGCTAAGTCGCTTCACTCATGTCCAACTACTTGCAACCCTGTGAACTGTAGCCTGCCAGGCTCCTCTGTCCATGGGATTCTCTAGGCAAGATTACTGGAGTGGGTTGACATTTCCTTCTCCAGGAGCTCTTTCTGACTCAGGGATTCAACCCACATTTCTTACATCTACTGCACTGGCTAGAGGGTTCTTTACCATGAGCGTGACCCATGAAGCCCACTATTTACATCAGCACCTCCCAAAAAAGTCTGACAAAATATGTACAAGAGCTCTATGTGGTAAACTACAAACCTCTGAGGAAAGAATGAGAAAAATCAAAGAACTAAATAAATGGAGAGATAGTCCATGTTCATGGATAGGAAGACTCTGTAATGCAATGTTGGTTATTCCCAATTTGATCTATAGATTTAATGCAACACCAATTAAAATCCCAGAAAATTATTTTATGGATATGGATAAACTCCTCTTAAAAGTTTACATGGAGAGACAAAAGGAACAAAATACCCAATGCAAAACTGAAAGAGGAGAACACAGTTGGAAGACTGACACTGCCTACTTCAAGACTTACTATAAGACACAGTAATCAAAGCCCTGTGGCCTGTCAAAAGAAAAGACAACCAGATCAGTGGAAGAGAACAGAGAGGCCAGAAAGAGACCCCCATAAACACAGTCTGGTTTTTGACAGAGGAACAAAAGCAGCACAATGGAGCAAAGACACTGTCTTCAGCAAATGGTCCTGGAACAACTGGACAAGCAATGCAAACAAACAAACAGAAAAAGAGTCTAGACACAGATCTTAGAAACTAACTCAAAAGACATCACAGACCTAAATGCAAAATGCAAAACCACAAAAATCCTAGAAAATAACATAGGAAAAACCTAAACTGTCTTAAGTTTGGCAAGGACTTTTTAGATACAATATTCATGGCACAATGCATTAAAGAAACAATTGATAAATTGGACTTTATTAAGATTAAAATTTTCTACTCCACAAAAGACAGTGTTTATTAAGAGAATCAGAACATAAGTCATAAATGGGGAAAAAATACTTGCAAAAGACACATCTGATGAAGGATTGTTATCCAAAATATACAAAGAACTCTTAAGACTCAACAATAATATAAACCTAATTTAAAAATGTGTTAAAGACTTAGACACCCCACCAGAGAAGATATACAGCTGATGATAAGCGTAGGAGAGGATGTCATATTACATGTCACCATATAGCATGGAAATGCAGATTAAAACAGCAATGAGACATCACTCTGCACCCATCAGAACACTGACAACAAATGCTGACAAGGGTTTGGAGCAAAAGGAACTCTCATTAACTACTGGCAGGAATGCACAGTAGCACATCCAGCCTGGAAGGCAGCTTAGCAGGTTCTTAGAAAACACACTCTTTTCATAGAATCCAGGAATCATGCTGCTTGGTATTTGCCCAAATGAGTTAAAAATTTGTGTCCATATGAAAACCTGCACGCACGGACGCTTAGAGCAGCTTTGTGCTCGTAACTGGCAAAAAGCAACGATGACGCCCTGGAGGAGGAGAATGGATAAACTGCAGTGCGTGCAGAGGACGGGACAGCGCCCAGCACTAAGGGGAAGTGAGCTCTGACCATCAGGAGGCACAGAGGAGACCTACGTGCATATTAATAAGCAGAAGAAACCAACTGGAAAAGTCTACATATTGTACGGCTCCAATGACATGATTTTCTGGAGACGACTGCCAGGGGCTGGGCGAGGGGAAAGATGAGTAGGCGGAGACAGGGGGTTTTTAGGGCAGTGGAAACACTATGTCTAATACCATAACGTTAGGTCAATCCGTGGCGTTATGCATTTGTCCAAGTCCACAGAACATACAACTGCGAGACCCAACTCTGACGTAAGAGACGGCCTCTGGGTGATGGTGCACTCTGGTGGGGGTGTCCGTGGTGGTGGGCTCTGCTCGTCAGCAGAAGGGACAGGGCTTATGGGAATCTACCTTCCTCCTCAATTCTGCTGTGAATAAAACAGCTCTAAAAAAACTAAGTCTACAAAAACCAGGCCCTAGAACCATTCCCTTTACCACGATTTGACGCATTTTCTCAGGCTCAAACTGATTTTGGAAATAAATTTTCTGTATAATGTCCATCCTAATTCCAACATACAAAGATCAAACTGTCAAAGACTTTTACCCTGAGAGTCCCTTAGCAATTAATTCAAATAATCTGTATGCTTAGCACAGGCGATAGATAATAAATGAACAGACCAAAACGGGCCAAAACAATCTGGTTGGCACTGCCTGAGGACACGAGGTCAGAGAGCCCCGGGGCCGTGCCAACAGAACAGTCACCAGAGGGAAGCGCAGGACAGGAAGCGACGGGAGGACTCGGGCGGAGAAACGGCAGGCAGCCAGGCCCACGGGAAAGGCCAGGAGAGAGGGATGAGAGAGACAGCAGCGGAGCGGAGCCAAAACAGGCAGGCTTAACACGAGGACAGGACGGGCCTGACTCGAGGCCCCACGCACTGGGCGCCTGCGCAACACCTGGCTGGCGACTCCTGCTTGGCCTCTGGTGCGAGGGTGCTGTTAAAGGCATCCCTGCGATACAGCCAGCGTCACAAGAACTGAAAACTGGCTTCTGTATTAAGATCTGCATTTACTGGACAGATACTTCTGCATACGCTGGTGCAAACTCTGATTCAAGAAGCAAAATGTATGGTCACAGTTGTTCACTTTACTATTTGTATTTACTATATTTAGTTTTAAAAGCATTTTCTTAACACACTGTGGATTAGACAAAATAAAGCAAGCATAAAGTATCAATAAACAAAAAGAATGTTAAAACTCATGTCAGGGGAAACCCTACAGACATATATGAAACACCTTAACAACATTTGGCCAAAATAATGTTTGGTTTTTTTCTAATGAATACAAAGACCTGAGGGGACACAAAATAGTGGAAACCTCAAAATGGGGCCAAAAGTTACAAAGATAAAAAGATGCTGATGTCCAGCCATATTTTTCAGGCTGTAACAAACAGTGGGGAAGGGGGGTTCCAGGCTTTTTAACTGACTACAGAATCAGACAGGAACAGACAGATTACCTTGGGCACAAAGAATACGTTCCCACACTGTGGCCTCAGAGGGGGCGCTCGGAACAGGAGGCTGGAGTTTGTGAATGGGCATGGCTTGCAGACAGAAGTTACAGTGGGCATTAGGTTAGCAACCCCAGGTCTCAGTCGCGGGCACACAAGACAACCTGCACCTGTGGGACACGGGACAAGAGGAGGCCGGGGGAGCGGCCAGCAGGCCACTGGAAGGACCTGGAGTGAGGCAACAATGGCCTGAGCTGAGTGGTAGCTGCGGAAACAGGAGGGGGCGGAGGAGCTCCAAGCAGACTCCCAGAGAAGCAAACACTGTGATCAAGTAAAACACTATCTGCAGGAAACGAGAAGCAGCAAAAATCATAGATATCTCAGTTCCAAAACCAAACACTCCAAGAGAAATGGCACGTTGGGAATTTAGAGGAAGGTTGTGAAAGGGCATTATTTTGTTAGGAAATACTGACAATATTTTCAGCAAGTTAAGTACTAGGAAATTATAAAATATCTGATGAGCTTTCAATTATATAACCAATAGACAGAATAAGAAATGTTAGAATTTTACATACGAACTTTGTGTGAAATCCTATAGGAGTCAAAAATTAGAAAGGATTAGTAATCAGCAACTATTTATAGAGTCCAAAGTTTAATTCCTATGGAAAAAGGAGCAACACATTTTACTTCATCAAATTCTTCTTGAAATATATATGCAAAATGCACAAATCTTAAACATATATCTTGATAATTTGTTACTTGGAAACAGCCATGTACCAGTGGTGGTGGTGGTGATTTAGTCACCAAGTTGGTCCAAGCCTGTGGCCCTGTGCCTGAGAGCCGGCCCCGCCCCGGGGGTTCCCAGGCAGGAACACTGGAGTGGGCGGTTCCTTCTCCGGGGCATCTTCCGCACCCAGGGACAAGCTTGTGTCTCCGGTATGGCAAGTGGACTCTTCACCAGGGAAGCCACGCCATGAGCCAGTACAAGACGTCAGCGCAGGGGCTGCTCAGATGCCTCGCTGCTCATGCTCCACAAAGAGATAGCCGCTATTCTGATGTCTATCACAAAGAAGCGTTGTCTTTTGCTGAACTTTCTGTAAATAAATTCAGAGAGTATGTGCCCTTTTGGGCCAGGCATATCACCCGTCTGAGAGAGCTGTCATCCATGACATGGGTTACAGCAGTATTTTCAGTGCTATATTCACTGCTCCATTGTGGAATACACCTAAAATAATCTATCCATTTTACTGACTGATTGGTTGTTTTCAGTGTTCGGTTATTAATAATAATGCTGCTATAAACATCTTCACACATGTTTCATGGTGCACGTATTCACCCGTTTCTTTTGGTTGGACATTCTATAGTGAAAATGCTCAGTCATAAGTGATCTGAAAACTATGAGCAGGCAAAAACTTGAAAGCGAATGTCTGTAACAGCCAAATGTTTGTAACTGCCAAAAGTAGATGCGACCATGATGTCCTTCAATAGGGACGTGAATAAACAATGTTAATCCATATAATTGAATATTATTCAGCAATAAAAAGAAATGAGCTATAAAGCCATAAAAAGACATGAAGAAACC